GATTACTTATTTGAGATATTTTCTTCTTTGTTAGGTAGGCTTGTATTGCTATAAATTTCCCTGTTAGCACCACTTTTGTGGCATCCCATGAGTTGGTATGTTGCATTTTCATTTTCTTTTGTCTACAGGTATTTTTTTATTTCTCCTTTGAGTTCTTCATTGATCCCAATGGTTGTTTAGGAGCATGTTGTTTAGTCTCCACATATTTGTGACTTTTCCAGCCTTTTTCTTGTGGTTGATTTCTAGTTTCATAGCATTGTGGTCAGAAAAGATGCTTGATATGATTTCACTCTTCTTAAATTTATTGAGACTTGCTTTGTTTTCCAACATATGATCTATCTTTGAGAATGTTCCACATGCACTTGAGAAGAATGTGTATTCTCCTGTTTTTGGATGTAACGTTCTGCATATATCTATTGAGTCCCTCTAGTCTAGTATTTCATTTAAGGCCACTGTTTCCTTGTTGACCTTCTGTCTGGATGATCTATCCATTGATGTAAGTGGAGTGTCGAGATCCCCTATTTATTATTATGTTGCTGTCAATTTCTCCCTTTAGTCTGTTAATAGTTGCTTTATATACTTTGGTGCTCCTGACTAGGTTCATATGTATTCATAAGTGTTATGTCCTCTTGGTGGAATGTCCCTTTTATCATTATATACTGCCCTTCTTTGTCTCTCATTGTCTTTTTTATCTTGAAGTCAACTTTGTCTGATATAAGTACGGCAACATCTGCTTTCTTTTGTTGCCATTTTCTTGGAGTATCATCTTCCATCCCTTCACTCTGAGCCTATGTTTGTCTTTAGAGCTGAGAAGTGCTTTCTGGAGGCAGCATATTGTTGGGATGGTGAAAATATTTTGGAACTAGACAGAGGTGGTGATTGTACCACATTGTGAAGGTACAATGCCACTGAATGTTAAAAATGATTAATTTTATATTATGTGAATTTCACCCTAATAAAAATATTTAATGTAGTCAAACATATTAATATTTTTCTTTAAGGTTTGTGTTTTGGGGGGGTCTTAATTAACATATCCTTCCATTGCAAAATAATAAATATTTTCTTCTATATTATTTTACAAATTTTTAAAACTTTGCTTTTCTCATTTAGGTCATTAATCCACCTGGAATTTGTGTGTGTGTGATGGGAAGGATAAGGGTGTAATTTTTATTTTAGTTTTCCATTTGGTTAGGCAAATATCTCAGCACCATTTATTGACTAGTCCATCATTTCTATAGTGATTGATAATGACTCTCTGTCATATATCAACTTTTCAAATATGTGTAGGGTCTATTTTGGGGTCTCAATTTTGTTATTATGTCTTAAGGCTTTAGAATAGGTTTTGATATCTGCTAGTTAAGTGCTTCTTATCTTGTTTATTTTCTTCACCATCGTCTTGCCTATTCCTGGCCCTTTGTTTTTCCATGTAATTTTAGGGTCAGCTTGTCAAAGTTTATTTTTTATTTTATTTTTTACATTTTTATTTTTATTTTTGTTTTTAAAGGTTTTATTTTTTTCCTTTTTCTCCCCAAAGCCCCCCAGTACATAGTTGTATATTCTTCGTTGTGGGTCCTTCTAGTTGCGGCATGTGGGACGCTGCCTCAATGTGGTTTGATGAGCAGTGCCATGTCCGTGCCCAGGATTCAAACCAACGAAACACTGGGCTGCCTGCAGCGGAGCACGCGAACTTAACCACTCGGCCACGGGGCCAGCCCCCAGTTTGATCTTTATTAACAAAATTGGTCCAGAAAAGGATTGGATCAAAATGACGTAGTGATAAGGATTAAAATAAATGTTGTTTTCCATTGCATTGTTTCTAGGGGACTGTAGCCAGTCTAGAAGTCAAAGTTTGTTTGAAAATCCCGTTCTCTAACAAGATTTCAGCTGGAATTGAACTGAATTGTCTTTACCATCCTAATTCTTCTGTACCCTTGAACATGGCATATCTACCGCTTCCTTCCTTTTCAGTTCATTTTTTATATTTCTTAACAGTGCAACGTAAAAACAGTTAATTATTAATTAATTGTCCCAGGTGACATAAAGTAGTGATTTTCTCCTCAATGGTTTTTTTTTTTTTTGCTATTATGATTATATTCTAAGTTTGATTAATAATGTACAGAAATACTACTATTCTTGTATGTTTATCATGTTTCCAAAAACTTACTCTTATTCATTTTAATAGCTTGTTTGTGGATTTGCGTGCATTTTTATATAGGCAATTATATTGTCTGAAAAAGAGTTTTGTTTCTTCTGTTTCAATTTTATGTCTCATTTATTTTTCTTATTTAACTTGGCTAGGACCTCCCAGAAGTGGGGATTGTGGGCATCCTTGTTTTCTTCCCGACCTTAATGGGGATGCTACCAGAGGTTCAACAGTAAATGTGATGTTTGCTGTTGATTTTTAATAATTATTCTCCAGAAGATTAAGAAAATGATCTTCTATTCTCAGTTTGCTAACGGAAAGATAGACATATGTGACTGCTAATTTTTTTCAAATTATTTTCCTGTGTTCATTAAGATAATAAAACAGCTTTCTCCTTTAACCTGTTAAAATGGTACATTGCATGAATAGATTTTCTGATATTGGGCCTTTACTCCATTTTGGAAATAAACTCTATTTGTTCATGGTGTGTTTTTACTCAGAATTTTTGCCCCTTTGTTCATAGGTGAGATCATTTCAGGATTTTTTTACTGCACCATTTTAATCTGGTTTTGATATCAAGGTCATACTATCCTAATAAAATGAACTCTGAAGCAATTTTTATAAAATAAGTATTATCTGTTATTTGGTAAAACTCACCTATAAAACCATTCGGGCCTGATGCTTTTGTGGGATGGAGGAAGAAAATAAATTTCTATATTAACGGTTCAGTCTTGTAATGATATTGCGTTGCTTTTTATTTCATTCACATGTATTTTCACATTTACTTTTTAAAGGCAACGATCCATTTCAACTAAGTTTTAAAGATCTTCCTGTGTTTATATTATGTCTCTCTCTTTGTTGTTAATATTACTCATAGGTGCCTATGTTGATGAGTTTTGAGAGTTTGCCTACTTCATTAGTTTTTTCCCCCCCCAAAGAATCAGCTTTTGGCTTTGTTGACCCTCTCTATTGCTTCTTGATTTTCTGTTTCCTTAATTTATGTTCTTATCATTATTATTTTCTCTTTTCTACTTCACTTAGGTTTTATCTGTTCTTTTTTCTTAAAGTATTTTGAGTTAAACACTTACCCCATTTTAAAAAATCATTTTACCTATTTTTAAATGTAGAGTTCTGTGCTATTAAACACATTCACACTGTTGCACAGCCATCATCACCATCCATCCCCATAGCTCTTTTCGTCTCACAAAACTGAAACTCTATATCCATTAGACAATAGCTCCCCATTCTCCTCTCCTCCCAGCCCCTGGCAACCTTCATCTACTTTCTGCCTCTACAATATTGACTACACTAAGCACCTCATATAAGTTGAATCATATAATATTTGTCTTTTTGTGACTGACATTTCACTTAGCAAAATGTTCTTAAGGTTCATCCATGTTGTAGCATATTTCAGGATTTCCTTCCTTTTCAAGGCTGAACAATATTCCATTGTATGGATAGACCACATTTTACTTATCCATTCATCCTGATCCATTTATTTTTAATTTTACGTTTTTAAATGCATGTATTTAAGGCTATATATTTACTTATATCAAAACTTACAAGTTTTGATGTGTGACACTCTCCTGGTTATTCAGGTCTAAATATTTTATGATTTTCATTATTATTTCCTTCTTCTCTCATGAGCTATTTGGAAGTACTTTATTGATAATAAATTTTTAAAGATTTTTGCTACCAGTTGCTAAGTCATTTTCTTAAAGAGCTGGGCCTTTTTCTACTTCCACAAGCCATGTGGATACCGAAAATTGGCCCCAGATGACATCTTAAAAACAATAACAACAAACAACAAACGAACAACCCATGTCCTACAGGGTCTTTTCGCCCCAGATACAAAACACCATCCCTGCGCACTCTAGGGAGTCATGTAATAAAGAGGCTAAGTCTGGATTCAAGTGCCGCCAGGCCACTTGGTAAGTGTAGGACTTGGACAAATAACTTAATCTTTCTGCACCTCAGTTTCATTTTCTATAAAACAATAGTATCTGCTTCACAGAGTGGAGCAGATGTTTAGCATCTAGCTGTCATTCCATAAATATTACTAATTTTTACCAATCCAGCTGTTGATTTTACTTTGTACTTTTGATGCTGCCATGCTCCGTTAGTAAAATAAACCTCTGGGTTTCCAGAAAGTGAAGACCCATGTTCCAAACAGCTTTGTTATACTTTTGTCCAAAATATTTTCATGTGTCTCTCAAGTTCATGCAAACACAGGCAGAGTCAACACAGGTACCCGCAGACAAGATTGTCCCCTTTCAAATTTACATTATGCACACAGATGCGAACGATAGAGATTCTCACAAACATGCACTCAGCCTGGAATCACAGATCCAGGTCCACACTCACGCTTCTGCACCCTCCTCATAAAGATGGATCCATCGCCCACAGAGAGAGACGCGCTCATAAGTCCCACTCAAAACCTAGCAGCCCGCTGACAGATCATAAGCCTCGCGCAGTGCCAACCCCATGCAAAGCATCACCACAGGCTCCAGAATGAGCAGCGGCCTTGTTCTTACTCCCTTTGGGTTGGTTCTAGTTTAGTTGTTTTTGTTGTTCTTCTTAGAGTTATCATCTGCCCTCTTTTCTCTCCACCCAGCCCCCAATTTCCCCCCCCCCCTCCCCGCGCCGAAGCCTCCATTGCGCATGCGCCCTGCGTCCCTCCTCCCCCCCCTCCCGGGTACCAGTCTGGGCTCCCAGGCCCTGGCGGCGGAAGAGATGGAGGCTCGTCACGAGCGCCCGGCCCCTTAAAACGCTGCTGGCTGGAGCCGCCTCCCTCCCTGCAGCCCGCGGTGGAGATGGAGTAAAGGGAGACCGGTCGACCTGCCCGCGGAGATCAGCGATGGAGTTAAAGCAATCTTTGTCTACCCATCTGGAAACGGAGAAGCCTCTGAGGCGCTATGGGGCGGTGGAGGAGACGGCATGGAAAGCGGAGGGACTGGGGAGAAGTGAGTACTCGGGCGGGGTGGGGGACAGTTGGGGATCCGTGCGCCGGAGCTGGGGGTCGCGCGAGCGCGGGCATGGTAGAGAGCGGACCCAGGGAAGCGCCCCCGCAGCGGGGCTTTTCAGCGCGGGGGGATGCTCAGCGCTGCGCAGCGGCGCGCTCTCCCGCGAACAAAAGGGGGACCCTCGAGGCTGGGCTTCACCGCCAGCCTCGGGAAATCGCTAGGCAGCTAAGCCGGGAGCCTGGGGTGGACTCGGGAGTGTCGGATCCGTAAGCTCGCGGCGGGTCCTGGAAAGTAGGAGCCCTACCGCAGCCGAGAGAGCTGAGTCCGCTCTCCGCCCGGGCTGCGCTGGGCGCTGGAGCCGGGGGACCGTCCTGGAAGGCGCCCACATCCCCGGAGAGGGGGGAGTGTCGGCTGGGTTTCCGCTCTGCTTTTCCCCCGGCGCGAGGTTCGAGGCACACCTCAGATTCCCAGCGTTTCTTCCCCCGCCTTCTCCGGGGTCGCGGGTGGGAGGGAAAGGGTTAGAGGAGGTTAACCCTGTGCGCCTCCTTCTCCTTTCTCCCTTGACTCATTCAAAGTCTTGGGTTTGGGTGCAATCCTAGAAGGCGGTTCGGAGACGGACCGACTGTCTTTGCTGGATCTCTCTACCGTATTTTGGTGTCAATAACATTTCCAAATACACGAAGGGTTTTTGCTTTGAATCGGTAGGACGCGGTAGTTGAAACTCCTGCTCTCAAAGTGTAGGGGAACCGCGGGGGCCCCAGGGTTGCCAGCCCTCCCTGCAACAAGCCCAGGGCGCTTCCCGGGGCCCCTACCCTGCATTGCTGCTCCAGCACAGCGCCTCCCGCCTGCGGGCAGAGGCCCTCTCGCCCCTCACAAGGATCCTCAGCTTCCTGCCTTGGCGCTGGGTAACGGTGCTCAGCACCAATCTCAGAGCGATGCTTGACCCAAGTATTGTAAATGTGCTCTTTTCCCGTCTTCTCCTGGTGGAAGATTGTGTGTGTGTGTGCATGCATGCGTGTGTGTGTGTGTCTGCGCTTTCTCCATCCCTGTAATTACAAATTCAGAAAATCTTCCTAGAATGGCTCAACTGAATTCTGGTTCTCTTGGGTTCAAGTTAAAAATCACAATCAAATGTCTTTCTCCTTTCACCTTACTCCTTTGCTTTCTCCTTTTTACATCGGGGTCCTTCCTCCTGTTTCATCCTTTCAGAAGCCTTTGGGAGTTTGGCATGACACCAGGGCTGAGGGTCTCTGGGTCCTACAAGCTCAAAATAATACCCACAATGGCTGCCTTTTATTGATAGACTGCCATGTCCCAGGTCCTGTGCTCAGAACTTTCAATGCATCGTCTGGTTCCATCCCCACAACCAGCTCCTGAGGTGAATAATATGACTCCCTTTCCATGGATGGAGAAACCAGGGCTTGTTCAGTGATGTGGCTGTTAATCTGCAAAGCCAGGATTTGAACCCAGGTTTGTTGGACCCCAGAGCTCCTCTCTGCTTTGAACATGAGGGTTTATTGTTTTCACATTGTCAGGAAGCTTTCTAAATCTGTTGAGAGACTCCTAGAGCACATTCAGTGATTTAATAAGTATGTGGCAGCCCTGTTGATATCTGCAGCCCACAGTGGCCTTGAAAGAATGCTGGATCTGTGCGGAATAGAAGCTGGATTCAAGTAAGCTCTGAGTTTGAATTCTGCTCCTTGCTGGCTATGTGACTGACTTTTGGCACATTTCGAAGGCTTATTCTGCCTCTGTTCTCTGAAATGGAGATAGTAATAGTTACCTACCTTATAGCTTAGTTGTGAATATTCAGTAGGACGATGTATGTGGAGCTCAAGGTAATGCTCACTGTGCCCTGGCTGCTTCAATTATAAAAGGGACCTGCCTTTATCCTTTGCAAGCAATTACATAAAGCAACACCCTGGACTACAGCTGCAGTGGTGGTCAGTTTCCTAATCACTCTCTTACAGCTTTTTTATTTTCTCACCATTTTATTAGGAAATTTTTCAAACCTACAGAAAAATGGCAGGGAACACCCAGTTTATAGCGTTTTAGCTCCTGAAATGTTTATACTTGTAAGTCTTAAGCTGCAAACTGTTAACAGCCTGCAGAAAAGCTTTCTCATCTTCTCTGTTCCAAACCATCAAAGACTCTGAGGCTTGCTTCCTATTCAAATGTAAGACAACAGTTTCAGATCTGCTTTGGTGAGCATCTCCAAATCTGGGTTTTTTTTTTTTTTTTCCTTTTTACCTATTCAAACTCAAGATCTTCCTAAAGCACTCATGCAGAGTCTCACTTTTGAATGTTAAATTTGAGATTGTTGCCTTTAGCAAGTTTTGATCTCCAGATTCTTTTCTGCAGTCTGACCTTTTTTTTTTTTCCTGGGAAAGATTCACCCTGAGCTAACATCTGTTGTCAATCTTCCTCTCTCCCCCCCCCCCCCCCCCTCCCCGTTGACCCATGGTCGATGGTAAGTTTGATTGTGTGGTTCAGGTGGTTTCTGCCAGAACTCTCCCTTTTTCCTCTCATGATTGATGGACAACCTGTGGATCCTTTGAGATGGCTGCTTCCTAATAACCTTTCACCCAGTCATCTAGATTTAATGTATCTGGCCTGAATCACTTACTTCTTGGTGCAAAGGGGTGATTTTCTGAT